CCGCCCCTAGTCCATGACTCCTTCGCGTGCCTAAGAAAAATCACTCCACTGTGACTCCAATAAGATATCGGCAAATGTTAATTGCTCCTCCCATGCTCCTCCCCCATATAAGCCTGTGCATTTCCTGAATAAAGCAGAAGCGTTCCAGAAACCTCCCCGGAGTCTGCCTGGTGATTCTACGCCTTACCCTCCCAGTCCGAGCTCCCGAATCTTGTTCCGTGAGAGGGCTTGCAGAGGACAACAATGGCTGATATGCATGGGCCGGACTTGTTAAAATACAACCAGCATCTGTCTGTGTTTATAATGTTTGAATGAATGTAGTCGATAAATTGTCAAGAAGACATATTTGTATATAATAAAAATGACAAAAGAACGACTCAGTAATTTTCCTTTTGCTAGATAGCTTCCAAAGCAATTCACCCGTCATCCACTCCAGCATAAATTCATCTGATGTTTGCTAATCTCCCAAAGTTAATATTTTTAATCAGACAACAGAAATGCATTTGAATGTAAAATAAGAAGAAGACTGATGAAGAACTAACCATATGATTACAACTACAGCTACAGCCACTAAAAGGAATTTAAAAATTCTTAAAATGTTTTTACTGAACTGAATAACCAAACAGTGCACCCGACCCTCTGTCACCGAGGTGAAAGGAAGGAGGCTGATGCTGCAGACCGCCCTGCTCAGCAGGGCCTCGACACAGAGGAGCTGTACTTCCAGTCCAGGTACAGACTCAGGAGAGCCTGCAGACCCCTTGGGGCCTTGGTCCCAGTAGCCTGACTCCTGCTGCTATGTATTACCGCCCCCAACTCCAAGCTCCCTAACGTTCTGTGACAAGAATTTTTACTGTTACCATGAAGTACTGCTCAGAATGTCTCAAAACACATCCGCACACAGGAGCCACTGAATAAACAGCTGGGAATGAAACTGAGGCAGCAAAAGTGGGTGAGTTCACGTAAGGAAGGACGATGCACAGTGGATGCAGAGAGCAAAACGTGGCTTGGTCTGGGCCATGTGAGAGCTGCAGTCAACTGTTTTACTGATTTCACACAGGGGCACAATGCGATGTCCGTAGAATCCGACATACAGCGTTTCTGGAACACGCATCTGGGGAAGAAAGCCCCAAGGACTGAAGTCTGAAGCAAGTTCCGCCTAACCGAGGACAGAGTTCACCCTGATGAAGGGCAGGTGAGCCACTGCTCACTGTGGACAGTAGCAGACTCTGCAGTGTCTGGGAAAAACTTGCACTGTTTAGTAAGCTATTTTTCTGCTTCAAAACAAACAAACAAACAAACAAAAAACCCCATAAAAACTGGGTAGCTTTTTGAAGTTATTTCTTTGAAATTTTCCATCTACAAACACTTTATTTTCATCTTTTCATTCTCTCACATTTTTTTCTTTTCCCTTTTTGTTCTTCCCCTACGTATCACCCCTTCCCTACACCTTTAGCTCCTTTCCTCCCATTTCTAAATGTCAGTAATCTTATTAGAATCTTATGCATTGTTGCAGAATATTCACACCAGGGAAACTATTTGGTATTTACACATGTGGGACTTATTTATTTCACTTAGGAGTATATCTTCAATATGTATCCATTTTCCTATGAATGAATCTATTCTCTCGCTCTTTATGGCTGAGTAATATTCCATTTTATAGAAAAACCACAACTTCTTTATCCAGTTTCCAACGGATGGGCAAATAGGTTGGTTCCAAGATTTAGCTATTACAAACTGTGCCGCTATAAACATGGGTGCACATACTTCTCTGTGATATGATTCTTTTAGTTCTCTTGGAAAGATACCCAACAGAGGGATGGCTGGGTCAAATGGAACCTCCAGTCCAAGCTCTTTGAGGTATCTCCATATTGATTTCCATAGTGGTTGCACTAGTCTGCACTCCCACCAACAATGGAGGAGGGTTCCTTTCTCCCCACAACCCCGCCAACATTTGTTATTGTGTGATTTCTTGATAGCAGCCATTCTTTGTGGGGTGAGGTGGAATCTCAGTGTTGTTTTCATCTGCATCTCTCGAATGACCAGTGATGTGGAACATTTTTTCATATATTTTCTTGCTGCTTTCACTTCTTTGTATGAGAAATGTCTGTTCATTTCGGATGCCCATTTTTGGATCGGGTCTTTATATTTGGGGGGACTGATTGTTTTGAGTTCTTTATATATCCTTGATAATAGTCCTTTGTCTGAGGTACTTGATTCAAGTAAAAATATTCCTTAAATTTTCTACATAAGAGATCTGTGGCATGGGTTATTCAGCGTATTTCTGAATATGTAAAACAATCTTCAAAAACCCCAGATGTGAGCCAGGTACCGTGAAAGCCTGTCAGCCCTCCAGTCTCCCACCTGAGACTCTGGCCCAACTTCTCTGACTAAAAAAAAAATCCCCACACCTCATGTATTTCTTCCCAAAGTTTCTGGAACTGATTTAAAATGGATGGAGAAACAGTGGGCAAACCAACTTCTCTATCTCTTTTGGTTTCAGCTGTGATGATCCCAAATAACACAGCACATCCCCTAGTCTCTCGCTGGCACAACTCTGGGGGCTCAGGCTGAGCCAGGCAGGCCATGTGCAGCAGGCTCCTCTGCAGCCCCACTTCCCTGGAAATGTGGAGTTTGTGCCTCGTCAGGCCTGGGGGTATGAGCGGCCCACTTTGCTAGTGTCCCTGTTGAGGTGACAGGGAAGTGATGAGGGGTTGGCTAAGCCTCTGGTCTCCTCACAGAGAAAGATAAAGCGGAAATGTAAACTGCAGCCTCAGCAGCCACCTGCTGCCACTGCTGGAGCTTATTTTCCAATATCTGGCGATTTTGAGACAGCCCGGTACGAACAACAGGTCAGCGTCCGCAGTCAGGAGACGGACGTGGCTTCTGAGGAAAGGCGCTCTGCAGCCTGAGGTCAGACCCTGAGTGGCGTGGTGTCATTTACCTGCCCTGTAAGAGTCCCCACCAGCCTAGAGAGGATGGGGTCCCAGGCTGTGATGGTGCTGTCCTGGGACTCACAGCTTAGTAAGCTGGGAGGTTTTTCTCTTCATGGAGAAGAGAAAAAATGAAAACATTTTAAATAGGAACAGATATTTTTATAATTGCTGGGGCTTGTGATTTCAAGCCTTCCACACCTGGCTGAGGACCACACCAAATTCCCCCAGAACTGCCTGGACCCTACCCTCTTGTTTTCCCCATGGTTCTATCCCCCTGTGAGTCCAGGACTCGGGTCCTTCTGTGCTCTCAGCGACAACCCACTTCCCTGTACCACACCTCTTGCTGCTGTTGGATACTGTCCTGGGCTACTGCTCAGCCCAGAGTGCTTTTCATACCCAGGATCTGGGCTGCACAGGGTGAAAGCAGACAGGGTCACCATCAGCAGCACCTCTATGGCTGGCACTGGGCCCAGCAGGGTATGGTGGTACTGGGCGGATGCCCCAGCCCGGAACTGTGCAAGACCCACCCTCCAGCCGGGTGCAGAAGCACAGTGTTCAGCCACCCCGGCTTGCCCATTCCTATTAGGTCTCCTCCTAACCTCCATTCCCTTCCTTCCTCAAGGTAACCCTGCTGGCCGGGGCTCATGCTCCACCCAGTGTCGCAGCATCCAAATGCACTGGCTTATGCTCCTTGGCTTCCAGGCCTAGACTTTCCTCCCATTTCTATGGTCTCCATGCAGTGATCCACGCTGAACTCACTACAGTATTTCAATCCCCTTCACGACACAGACTTTCCTTTCTCTGACTTGCTTTGGTAAGGACCCCATTGTTCAGCTTCACCAGGTCCCTTCTCATTAACTGACCCTGCACTTTCTTCCAGCCCAACCCACAGCCCCCTCTGGTCTCAACTTCCTTCACTCCATCACTCCAGCCTGTCGCCGAGCCCTGGAAGACCTCAACCAAGAACAAACCCACCCTCCTCTCCATGCGCCCTGAGTGTGGGTGCAGAAAACATTATGGGAAGCCTGAAAGCAAATGGATGCATGATTAGTTACCATGAGCGGACTCAAAGCTTAGATTCCAACTCCTGAGTGTCCCGAGCCTGTAAAATTCCCTCAGCATCCAACCTTCATGTCTCAGTGCCTGACCTTGCCCGGGTTTTACAGAGCAGCAGAAAGCATGATGCCTCTGACACTCCAGACAGACGCCCTGCCTCATCACAGGGTTCCCCTCCTGCCAAGTAGCCGCAGGAGACTCAGACAGGCTCCTCAAGGTGCCAGTTGGGCTGAGACAGGGCACGCCAGCCCTGGATGCTTCATGAACAAACCATGTCTTACTGATGAGGTCTCTGAGCGGCTGCTCTATGGAGCTGGTTCCTGGGAGCCCCCAGAGCTTCCTCAGTCGCTGTCTTGATTCGCAATGTGTTAAAGAACACGAGCCAGAAACTGCTCGTGGGAGGCAGGACGGGGAGGCACAGGTAGGAGACAGGTGACCCACGTGTGTGGCCTCGGGCCACTTCTCAGCTCAGCTTGCAGTCACACAGGCACCATGGACCACGTGAACCGTCCTGCGCTCTCCAGACACCAGGATCAGCAGAGATTTAAAAATCCTGAAGAACAAGCACCAGACACTCGCCTAATAAGCTTCATCTTCCCGACTCGCACATCTCACAGACGTGCTTTGTCAGGACGCGAGCTGCACACCGTCGCGTCTTTCACAGGCAGTCATCAGCCCTTCCCAGCCACACGCTCTTTATCCTTCACAGTAGCCCTGCTCTGATTTCCTGGCCTCCGTGATGCGTCTCCAGCCCTGGAGTCCCCACAGAGCGACACAGCGAGTCCCACATGCACCACCAGTCTGCCCAGCCCCATCCGGCTTCCGTAGGCTGCGCACTTCCTGAGATCCAGCACGTGCTGTGCGAGGGATGAGTGAGGAGGAGGCGGATGGGGAGTGTGAGCAGGACAGATGGGCAGGCGGGCGCTGCAGCACCGTCCGCCTCTCCTCCCTGCCCTCATACCGGTGTCCTCTGCCCTGGCCTCAGCCACTCCCCCAGCCCTCGGCACTCACCTGGCTTGCTGGCAGACGCAGCAGACCCAGGCCTTCTCGCGCTTGAGGAAGGAGCAGCAGCCCTTGCAGACGTTGAACTTGCAGTCGCTGCAGCGGCGCCGGGTGTTGACCAGGAAGGTGAAGGGTGCGCAGCAGCGCATGCAGCAGCACTCCACGAACTTCCGGTGCTTGGCGAGGATGCTGCACTTGCTGCCCTCCTCGTCCAGCTTCTGTTTCATCTCACTGGGACCAGGGTGGAGAGGAGAAGAGAAAAGCACATCAGATCGGGACTGTGTGCCCAGGGCCCGCCCGTGCCCATAGCCAGGAGGCCTCTCGGAGCCCTTCCTCAAACCGCTAGGCCCAGAGATGTCACAGTCGACAGGGGGCCTGGGAGGAGCTCACATGAGTCAGTCTGGGTGCTCCTGGATCTCAGGGTCCCCAAGAAAAGCACGGAGACCTCTTTGCTTACATCTTAGGGACCACAGGAAGACACACACTATCATACAGCTACTCATCCCTGAACACGAAAACCTTCCGCTTCATTTTGCCTTTGGAAAGGGGCAGGGATCTCTTGTAATAAAACCCGAATCTGCCTGTAGCCCTTCTGGCATCTCACCTGCAGTGTGGCCCTGAGTGACTAAATCCCAAGACAGATGCCCAGGGCTTGGAGTTTCCAGGTCCAGGTGAGTAAGGGAGGGTCCTAGGGACTGGGAGCTGGGATGAGACACCCTGCCCTGTACACAGGGTCACACACCACTCTGGATGCAAGCCCAGGGTACATAGGGCTGGGGTACCAAGAGCCGCGACAGACCCCACACAGGCAGGTGACCCAGGAAACATAAACTGAAAGTAGCCAGCTCACTCAGAATTGGCAAGTTTGGGGTTTTTCCACATTGAAAAAAATGGGGCCACAAACAATATTAGCAAAACATTTTTCTGCTACTATTCTGATTTCTACTTTTGCTGTGCTATCAATACTACTCCTGTTGATGCTGCCAGTATTCTAATGTAATAATTTACTGTCATGGCATTTCTGTACCCATTCCGTGATTATAGTCTATACTGGGTAGGTCTGTAACATGTGGCGAACATTTTCTCCTGACTGTGGCTTGTCTTTCCCTGCTTGTGCTGTTTCTAACCACTGAGAGGTGTTCAGTGTCTCTGTAGTCAAAAGGTGTCAGTCTTTACTTTTCACCGCCCCAAGCTCTACCATTTGCTCAGAGGCCTGTACAATTGTACTAGTCTTACGCATGCTCAGTATGCCCCTGCAGTGGATTCGGGAGGCTCCAGAGGGATTTGTCCATACCCTGCTCCTGGGCCTGGTCAGTGGGGTCTTATTGGAAACTCAGGTCTGTGGAGCTGTAACGACATTAGGGGTCTCCAGATGAAACCACCTTGTCTGGGCTCTATGGGCCTGATGACAAGTGTCCTTCAGAGGAAGGCACTGTGAAGACAGAGGCAGAGACCAGCATCCCAGGGCCACAGGTAAGGGACACAAGTTTGCCAGCAGCCACTGGAAGCTGTGAGCAGTGCTTCCCTGATCTGGGAAGGAGCTCAGCTCAGTCAGCATCTTCATGGCAGACTCTGCCTCCAGAACAGCCAGACACCATACTTCTGTCATTTTCAGTCACCTCTTTGTGGTAATTTGTAAGAACAGCCTGGGGAAACCAGTCCAGCTCCATTTAAAAGAAAGGAAGGAAGAAGGAAGGAGGGAAAAAACAAAACAAGGACTTTCCTCAATTCTAATCCCCATCCAAGGGCCACCTGTAACAGCCCTAACCTTGCAGTTACAATTTGAACCCAGGGCCAGTCTAGATCCTCTCCTCACCGGCTGGCGCTGGCTCCAACCTGGCTTGTGCTCCTTTTTCTTCAAGGAGACTAAGCTCTGCTCAACACCATGTTGCTAAACACAAAGAGCCTTCCCAGGCCTTGTGGTACTTGACTGTTGCATGTTCTCAAGGCATGCTCTTCTCTTCCCTGAGACACCCCACGACTTCTGTCTTCCCTCCTATTCCTTCCCAAGCTCTGGTCCTATGCCTGGTCTGTAAGTGTTAGGCAAGACTTCCTAGCATGATAAGGACATGCTCCCGAATGAAGGTGATTACCAACAGCTCAGGCCAGCCTCTGATGAGATAACATGTCTTCTGTGGTCATGGTGGGCTCCCACTTGGCTCTCCTGACAAACTTTCCCTGAGTTCCCCAAGCACGGCACTCACAGTTTGGTAGGGAGGGACATGGCACTAGGCAGCGGGGGTGAAGTCCACCCTTGCCCTGGCCTGACACAGTCTCTCTCTTCCCTCTGGGCCAAACTGTGACAAACTCGAGGACAACCACTGTACACTTGGAGTCACACCCTGCCTGCCCAGCTGCACAGACGGAACTGGCAGGACTGCAGCCACCCCTACCTGCTGGAGACTGCAATTTGATTATGCCCAAAGCAGGCTGTAAGCAGTGCAGGATGTGAAGAGTTAACCCCACAACTGGCTGTTTATAGGAGTCCAGTCAAAGCCCACGTGCTGAGGTCAGAGTATCTTGCATCCAAATTCCATTCCCACAACTAAAACCTTCTGACTAGAAGGACAGTGTTCTAATCACAACCATATATTTTGTCTATTCTGTTCCTAATTGAGAATGCTTTGCCTTGTCCTTTACAAGGCTTGCTTACATTGATTTCCATAGAAACTGCAGGACTGTACATCCTTGCATGTAGCTCTCCTTTACCCCAGCTGATTACCAAGAAAATTCAGTGGCTGGGACTGGCCAGTGCTTCTGTTGGTTGCACTGGCATTGGTCGTCCTGGCCCCCGCTTTCTGTCTCTCTTAGTTCTTTTAGTCCCCCCGCCACTAGCAGAACTGCGTCTTACACTGAGTAGGAGACTGGAGCCAATTGCAGAGGTTTTTGGTAACATTTCAGGGGTCCCCAGTATCTTTCTCTATTGGAACTCCCCTCCTATTTTCACAAAAGGGATGGTATTACACATACCACTTTGATTCTGACAGTTGAAAATAATCTACTTTTGTTTAGATTTTCAAGTGTGTTGGCATAAAGCAGGTCCTGGGTTTCCCTTGTGATTTTTAGGCAATTGCTATTTCTGTAGTTATGTCCCCTTTAATCTCTAAATGTTTTCTCTAAGCTTTGTACTACTTGATCAGTGGGTTCAGCAGTTTATTTCATCATGTCTGAGGATGAATTAGCTTTCAATTAGGTGCATGATTTTCAGTACGGTTATGTTTTGCACTGCAGTAAAGTCCAGTGTTCTTTATTATTTTTTCCTTTTACTGGTTTTGAGCCTTCCCTGTTCTCTTTATTTTCATTTTACGAAGTAAAAATTTAAAAGTAAAGATCATTTTCTTTTACTTTTTTCTAAGGTCAGTATCTAAGGCAATAAAACTCAGCACATCACTTTTGCTGTACGCTACAGGTTTGAATTACAGCATTTTTATTGCTCTTTAGTCTTACACACTTTATAATGCTTAAGTTCAAACTTTCCAAATGGACAATTTTTGTTACTCAATTTTATTTTATTTTATTTATATCTTTATCAGAGAAGAGAGTCTACAAGAAGCAAGTTCTTTGGTATTGAGACTTTTATTACGGTGAGGACTTGATCACCTTTTATAAAGTCCTGTGTGTGTTTAAAGAGGATGTTTATTCCCTACTGATGGAGATCACGACACTAGATCTCCCGTTACAAACAGAGTTTGTCCATTCCACTCAGTCCTGGTAATTCTTCCTTGCTACGCAAGGCACACCCAGGTCTGCACACGTTATACTCGTAGTGATTCCTTCCTGCCCTCTTCATCCCGAATGCCGCTCTTTGCCTTCTGTCTCCTTCTCTGATATGTATGCTCCACACCAGTTATTGTTAAAATTTGACAGCATGTGCCTAGGTATATCCTTTTACATTTTTCACTTTCGATACTTGTGTCATTATGTTTCAGATGGAATTTGCAAGAACCACAAAGCTGAATTTCTTACTTTATCCAATATGAGACTCGCTAATCTATGGAAATTTAAACAACTCACATTGAGATTACTGATATGTCTGGATTTATTTCAACTATGTTTTGGGCTTTCTGTTTATCCTGTGTTTTCTTGTTTTCTCCTGCTTTCTGTCAGGTTACTCTGTCTGCTTCATTTTCCCCACTGTGATTTGGGATTTCATGCTCTCACTTATTTTATTGATTAGTGGTGACATATCAATACGTATATAGTGTTTGAATTGATGTCTAGAGTTAACAACTTTCATTCCCTCTGGTGTTCTGTGTTATTATTGAGAGCATTTGGGCTTGGCCTTGGTTTATAACTGCAAGAATTATTCTTCCTATTTTTCACTGAAGTTGTGCAGTGCTATGGGTCCGGGGGTCTGGTAGGCTAAAAGCCCTGAAGCAAACTGGACTGGAGCTGCCACCCTCTTCACCAGAGACTCACGCCGCTTGCACTCAGTTATGAGTAGGGTGCTCTGAGGAGACTGAGTTCTGCACAATTTTCACCCATGGGAAAGTTGGTCCAATGAAGCTTAACCAGTAGAACCATAGCACGTTCTTGGGTGCTGGCCACGTTTGCCAGTTTCTTTGCTTATCATAGTTTCTTGCTTCTGCTATTTGCTCTGTGGCCAAAGTCCTGCTGCCAGTGCTTTCAACAAGGTAAATGGGAGCAGCTGCTATGCTTCACTTGTATGTGAATGGCAGTCTGATGGGACACAATTCTTTTCGGAAAGCACCAGGTCATGTTGAAGGTATTATTCTACCATCATCCTTATTACCGTCATTATCATTATTATTTCTAGCATCAAATGTAATGGGAAATCTGTCAGGCTAATATTTCCTTTGTAGGAAATCCAACTTTTCTCACTGGTCAGTTTTAAAAATGTAGATATAACCTCTTAGAATTTCTTTTTCTTATTTTTAATCTGACTTTGAAAAAAACTGCTATACAATCCACATACATAAAATTCACCCCTTGGAAGTGTACACTTCATAGGTTTTTGTATAGTCACACGGGGCAGCACTACCATTTAATTCCAGAAATTTTCATCACATCAGAAATAAACTCAGCAGCCACCCCCCACCCCGGCCCCTGCCAACACTAACCAACTTCCTGGTCTTTCATGTAAGGGAGTCGCAGCACTGTGGCCTTTTGTATCCGACTTCTTCACTTTGCTCCAGGCTCACCCAAACAGCATGTGCCAGCTCATCACTCCTCTGTCCTACCAAGTAATGTTGCCCACAGACATGCCCCAT